CCTAGGGGCTTATATAGTCCTGAGACCTGGATGTTTCCAGGGTCTAATTCAATGATTTACTGAATTAATTAGGGGAAAAACTTGTAATGATTTCAGTGACCTCTTGGAATTGGTCCACAGTAGAGTTGTAGCAGGGGGGGAAATGAACATCTGCCATACTGGGTAGACCAACAGAGCGGAAAGGACCATGTGCTGATACGTAGCAAGGGGGGAAGGCAAAGCCTGGAGGCTGTCTTTGGACCCTCTTGAAATGGTCTTTGGATCGTGCGCCCTTATTGTGCTTGTGTTAATGGATATTCTGGTGTCATCTTGAATGGATGAGAGGGGGTTGTGGCAGAAAGGAGGAATTGGCATAGAGGGATGTGATAACCGGTTGGATCCAACTGGGCAGCATCTGGCACTGTGAGAGGACAGGATGTTGGGCGGGGAGGGAAACAAGCTTTATTTTTTTCCTTCCCCCTCCCCCTTTTTCTACAATAATAAAAACTTTATTTCATAGCCAAGCTTATAAATAGCTCTTTCTGCTACAAAGCACCTTCTTTGTTTCTGAATCCTTCTGGGACTGTGTTCTTTATTTTTTTTCCAGGGAGCTGACTTCCAAGTGCAACATTTCCACCCCCTGTACTCCTTTGTGCACTCCTTTAGGAAAGAAGCTCTCTTGAAGGCCCCTTTGAGATGGGCAGCAGAACAAGCCCAAGTCTGTCCATAATTACATTTTCTAGATATAATGAAGGAGGGGCCTGCAGGACTGTATCCTCCGCTTGCTTCTCTGGCTGTTCTTTCCAGAAACCAAAGTCTTCTCTTTGAACAGTCCCCTTCTTCCTTCCGAAATCTGTTTTGATGCACCAAATGGGATCCTATTGAGCTTTGATTTTTAACAGCAAGCATCTTAGCAGGTTTTGTTTGCCCTACCTGAGTTTCTGTGAGCAGGTCAGAGGAAACAGCTCTAGGTGCTGGCCTTTCTTGAGAGGCTAGTGGTTGTAACAGAGTGTCCTCTAGGATCTGCCCAGTACCTGAGATGGCCACTGCACAGCTGTGATGTCCTATGGGCTTACTCACAAGAAATGATTTCTCTGGCTGCAAATAGCAAAAAGGACTGGAATAGCTTGAGGATTTGGGCTGGTTTCTATTCTTGGGTTGTTAGCTGGCTGTTTGATATGCTGAGAGGTCCTTGCTCCCCAGCCTCTTCCTTCCTACTCCTCTACTGCTCTGTTAACTATGTTCCTCTTTTTCTCCCACTACCAATCCCTATATCCTTGCCTTTCTGCTCCAAAACCCTCCTGGTTCACCCTGCTGTCACTCACTTAGCACCACCCTCATTAGCTTTCTAGTTGCTTGAGGACAGGTACAGTTTTTCTTTCCTCTCCCTCTCTGAGCTGCGTGCCCTCTGAGCAGGCTGTGGAGCAAAAGCTTTTCCTCTTAAGAGGCAGTTTAGGCTCTTGCTGATGGCCTGAGGCTGTCTGACGTTGAATAACAACCTAAACCTGTGCCCAGTGGTGTTCTCCTTCCCTTGTTCAGCCTGCTCAGCGCTGGCTGCAACATGCTGCAAAGGCTCCTAACGTGAAGCCTGAGGCAGGGACCTCCTGTTGCCTCTGGGCATCTGTTCGCTTGTCTCCGTCCTTGTGCCTGAGTCTGCTCTGTGGTCCTCATGGGACCTGCTTTGTGCTTCTGCCTGTCTCTCTCAGCACAGAAGGCTAAGCCATGCAGTCAGATCTTCCTTCCTCTAGTTCCCGTGGTGGGCACCGCTCTTGCTGTGAGCGGACCTCTCTGCCTGCGCCTGGGAAGGCAGCCTGGTGGGATGCCCGACTCACTGAACCAGCAGGCACCCAAGGACCTTTCCTCGTCACCATACGTGCAAGTTGCTGGTTTGTTCTGGGTCACAGCTGTTGTGGGACAAGATGGGTTAAAACACTGTTGCTTCAGAAACAGTCCCCTCTGTCCAAATTCATGCTCGGCTGCAATCAGTATCAGTTTGGTTTGATGCTAGTAGTGTGGATGTTGTGAGCGCCAACTCTTGTGTATGTGTGCCCATCTGTCTGTGTTCTAGTGTGGCTGCTTTTCCTGGGCAACCGGTAAGTTTCTGTGGTGTTTAAGTACATGTTTCTGGTGCTTTGATTTCTTTCTTCAAGTGTGATAAGAGGTTACTGCATGCTAGGAGGCAAAAGGGTTGCCAGCCGAGCGAGTCTCATTCGAGGAGTGAATTCTTGGCCACTCGTGAAGGTCACAAATAGCAGATGACTTCAAGCTGCAACCAACAGAAGTTAGAAATGGGGATGGAGTTTCGAAACCTTTAGATGGAAAGTTAAAGGAGATTGCCTCCGAGCCAGCCCTAGCCTGGAAGCAGGGCTATTGCCACAACTCCCGTAGGGTGGATGCAATTACCTGTGAAGTTGTTTTATGCTGGTATAGCCCTCCTGTACAGGGCAAGGAGGAAACCCTTCTACAGTTAGGTGCTATTTTATCATTGTGGTAAGGTAGTCTTTATCCGCATTAACGTTAGGCATTTTGCGTTGTCTAAGCTGCACTCTTGCTGCTGCGTAGGCCTTTCCTTGTTGCCCTGTCTCGCAGCATGTCGAATTATCCTGCAAAGGCTGATCTGGCAGTCGCTCCTGATTGCTGATCTATTTCCAACCTACCAAATACTCCTCCCTGCCAAACACCACTTTTATACTAGCTCAGAGGCCCTGACAGAGTGAAATGATGTCTGTTTTCCTCAGAAATCTCAGGAGTATCAGACTCAGTTTTGCTCCCTATGAAAAGACTACTACGAAGCAAAGGAAATCTTAGCTGGGAAAGCCCAGCCCTTAAATATACTGTCTTCCTTGCGGTATTGCCCTTCCGTGTTGTATCCCTTAGGATACCAATGTGGTTAGACCTGTTTTGGGGTTGTTCTAAGTGTTTCTTTTCTGCCATACAACTATTTCCAGCTTTTCCTCAGAAAACTGGAGGTTGGAGGAGAAGAAGGGAGGAGGAATCCAAACTTTAGATACTTGGGCTTACTTTACCTTTTAACTCCTTCCCTGGAATAGGGAAGGGGGTATAAAACAAAGAAAGGAGACTACCACTAAAGGGAAAACTTCAGTGAAGGTTTGACTGTGACCAAGTTCTTCTTTATAGCACTGTTACAAAAACGGAAGGCATCAAAAAGGCAAAAGTGGCCTTTTCCCCACGCCCTTTCTTCCAATTTGGCTTGGGGAAATTGCAGTCAACCTCATATCTGTGGCCAGAGCACGCACCAAGAAAACTGTGTCCTGTCCTGTGCCTAGTAGATCTTCTGTGCACTAAAATTTAGCAGGCTGATGTAGGATGACTTTAAATGGTGATGCTCAGTTTTCTAGACAGGGAAACTGAGAGCCGAAAGGATTAGATCCTTTGTTGCCCCTTGCCCATTTCTTATATAAACAGATACATTTCCATCTTGCTCTAAGCAAGTGAGTGCAGGGTGCCCTCTGCTTGCCCTTTGAGCAGAGAAGCCAAGGGGGTGGTGTGTAAGGTTCAGTCTGAGCCTCCCTAGATAGGGAGGAGATATGGAGCAATGCAGATTCCTTCCTGCTGTCTCACCTACAATGTCTTTTGTTTCCAGGATTTCTACTGCTCTTAAATAAACACAAAATAAATTCACGTTCCATCACCTTCCTCTAAACTGTTTTTTCTACAGGCAATTTGTCCTCTTCACTGTGTGCTTCTCCTCTCTTCCCCCATATCCCAGCATACAATGTTTATAGTGGGCTCTTTTAAAACAAAATATGTATGTTTGTCTATCTTTCCTTGCTCCTGACCTGTGGATACGGTATGTTATGCGTTTAAGTTAATATACATACAGAGTAACCCTTAAACCTTCAGTGCAAGGCTGCTGGCTCAGAGGGATTTTATTTTATTCATTTTTTTTTCCTTGCGCTTAGCTCCATCTGGCAGGAAACCTGATCATAGGCGCTCTCTTGCTTGGTGTCCTGTGGGAATCTCCAGAGATGTGGGCCTGGTGGAGTGGCTTGGCTTCAGTTGACTGACCATGCTGTTGCCATTCTGTTAAAGCTCTTGGTGTGCTCCTCGGTCACCTTAGGTCCATACTGGCCCACCTCAAACACGTTGGTGATCTTTGTCATGGGTTTGGCAGCCAGCTCCTTCAGCTTCCGGGCATCAAAGCGTGGTTTATGTAGAAGAATGGGTAAGCGGCGAGGGAAAGAGAAACCTTCTTCCTTCTGCACTTTTTTTTCTTCTGCTTGCTGCTTTTTCTTGTTGACTGTCATCTGGTATAAAATGGCATCCCACATCCTTGTGGTCCTTGGTTTAACCAGCTGGCTGTCTTGAGTGGTACTTGTTTGAGAGCTGTCTTTCCCATGGCTTGCTTCCTCCTGCCCCTGCTTGGCCGGCTCAGGCTCCGGGAAGCTGGGTGCCTCTGGTGGCACTATCAAGTGCTTCCTGAGGCGATACCAGCCGCTAGCATTGACTCCAAGAGGTTTTGCTTCTTCCACCAACGGCAGTGGTGGCTCAGCTTTGAGGGGTGAGCTGGTGTTTGGTACACTGGGGGCCAGCTGAGGGGGAATGGCATGTTCTCCCTTTGTTTCTGTGGGGGTGGCCCCCGCAGTGTCGGCTTGTGCTGGGGTTGCTGCCTCTGTGGGTACTTGCCCCCAAGGAGTGCTGGGTGTCGATGGTCTTGGGGTCTCACTGTGCTGCTTGGGTGACTCGGGCACTCTCTCTGATCCAGATGTCTCTGTGTCGCTTCCAAGGATTGCAGGCTTATTGGAGTGGGCATCAGAGGTGCTGGGTTTGGGATAAGGGGCTTTGATAGATTCTTTGTGTGGTACAGGACTGAGCGCTTCACTAGGAGGTCCTGCCTTTGCAGGAGAAAGTGGATGAGGCTCCAGGGTAGGAGGGGAAGCCATAGTCTCGCTGTCACTGAGAGGGGCAGGTATCTGTCCTGGAGATGATTTGGAGTGACTCACTTCAGCTGCTGGAGAAAGTGGCCTTTTGTTCTCATTGCTGCGGGTTGCTTGGGTCTGGTCTGATGTGGGTATCTTAGCCTTGGGTGCCTTGACACTGTGGAAATAAGTGTGCACCTTGGTGATATAGGTAACCTCTGGTGCCCTTTCTGTACTGGTTGTGGAAGAAGGAAGCTGGGGGAAAATGAATATAGACGAGGCCCGTGGAGAGGGAAGCTGAGTGTCTGTGCCTTCAGGTTGCTGTGGTGTCTCAGGAGCGCCTGGCTTGTGTAGCGGGGATGTCGCCGGGGAGGTTGTGAATCTGAGGTGTTCAGCAATGCGCCTTTGCTCGGTGACTGTCAGTGTGAAAGGCTTGCTTTTGCGGAAAGGGGAGGGAACGTGGTGGGTGACAGGCTTGATGGGGAAGCGGGATGGGAGGCTGATGGATGGAGCTGTTGCTGTTTTAGGGGTCTCCGCTGGGGCAGCGCTGCCATGGTGCTGCAGGTCAGGGCTGGCCTCATTCACAGGGGAGAGACTGGACCGAAAGGACTTGGCTTGCTCCGAAGCTAGCACGGTGTTCTTCTTGGCTGCTTTCTTCAGGAGTTTCTGGAGCCGCAGGTTGTCCTTCCCTGGCTTTGGCAGGGTGGGAGGGGGAGAAATCTGGGGGCGAAGGGGAGCAGGCTGAATGGAGGATGATACAGTTATCAGCATTGTCATCTCCTGTAACAAAACACAAAGCTTAGAGTTGATGGGGGCTTGGCCCTGTACCTGCCTCTTACAGGGCTAGACCCTGTTTTTTTAAGTATCCTTATGTAAGGCCTTCTCTTCTTCCCTCCAAAAGGTTCAAGTATGGAGTTAGTCCTCTTCAAGAAGAGCATCAGACTTGTTTTTTCTCATCCTCCCAAGGTACCCTCCACCAATCTTGAGGGTGGTGGGACAGGGCTAGAGATGCATTTGGGAAAGTTTGTATTGCCAAACCTGGAGTCCTTCTGCTCCTGGCATTAGCAAGAAATAAAGTTGGAGCTCCTTGAGACCCCAGACATCCATGTCTTGGCAAGTTCTAGCAGGATTTGGAACAAAATGTCCAGAGAAACAGCAGATCTGAAATTTTGAAGCTTTGAAACATTCTCCAGAGGTGCAAATTAGAAATGTTTCATGGCTTTCCAAATTCCAGTTATTAATACTCTGATACAATGTTATATACAACATAACAGCCATAAATTACGTAAAAGTCACTTAAGTCAAAGTCAATACCAGTGCTGATTGATTGCAGCTGGCAGAAGGACATCCCTGTGAAATGCAATACTTAAAAGCTGCATTTATCTGGTGAGAACATGCTTTGTCACAACACTGCCTGACTCTCGCTGGTGTTTCCTTGCTGTGTCGAGCACTACAGCAACCTTCGCCTTCTGCACTTATCAGCCCTTAAGATAAAAGTTAGTTTCCTGTTTCCCTTGGAGAGCATTGCCACTGTCCTCCCTGTATGTCTTCAGTGAAAAGGATATAAGATCCAATGCAGACCCCAACCTATTTCTGATTGGGGTTTGCACCTGGAACCCCTGCTACCAGAGCTGTGCCCCTCCCAAGAGGATGTGTGGGTGCTCTTCCAGCTCTGTCTGCCACTAGCTCTCTGTAACAGCATTCCCCCCTGCCTCTGACCTCTTTTTCCTTACTCTCACCAAGGCTTGTGCTTTTCTGCTGTCAGAAAAGTGAGGCTTTGGGTCTCTGTGAGGAGTTGGTGATCTTTGGATGGGGGCTGCCAGGAAAAGGAGTTGCAAGAGTCATGCTGAAGTTGGGTGTTTGGTATTCCCCAGCCTTGTTGAGGAGGAAAGAGAGGAGAACCGAGATCCATTTTATTTTGCTAGCCTTGATGCAGACCTTCAGCTCCCCTGTGCCAGAAGTCTGACTGTCCTGGCTCACTGTCTACTCAGATTTGCCGAGTTTTCTATGAAATGAGTTATAAATCACTGAATCGCTTAATCCCCAGTGCTGGATGCAACTGAGCATCCTGAAACAAGGAAAGCAAGGTGGGGTGATGTCAGCAGAGCTCAGTGGGGCTCTTGCATGCTTTTTACTCCGCTCTTGATGGCGCTCGACCTGCTCTGGTAAGTGGAATGGCAGCCTGTGCCTCAGAGTCCTGACCTGGCTGGTCTGAGCTGGCAGGAGGGAGGTGAAGTTCGTAGCATGATGCCTACTATGAAGGAAAATTACCCTGAATAAAACTCTTAAAGTGCAGAACAGATGTTTTACACTTGAGTGCTGCATGTTGCCTTTAGGCTTGCGACCTTGCTTTCAGCACTGGCCTGGGAGGCTGATCAGTAACAAGCAAGAGGGTGCATCTGCCAAAGCTGCTTGTAGAGGGGAGAAGGATGACTCCCTGAAAAAGCAAATGAAAGCACTGAAGAGGTGGCATGTGGGGGCACAAAGCCCTCAAGGGCCAGTCTTTACTGCTGTGGGCGAACTGTTCTTGTGAGCACAGCATGTGGTGGGTGGGGTCTGGGCAGCACCTAGCCAAAGGTGCACTGGTACCTACTGATCCCTTTGTTTCAGGTACAAATATGAGAAACCTCCCACCATTTTGTTGAGGAGGCCTCAGGGCGGGGGGGTAGGGGGGATTTGTGCAAGCGAGGGATGACAACTGTTGGGCATGCCAAGTGGCTTATCAGCTTTGTGCCTTAGCCATAAGGCTGGGATTAAGACTTGCTCTGTTCCAAGAGCTGCTCTTAGGAACAAGTCTTCCCTGGCCCTAAAAGGGCTGAGACACCCCATTTCTTCATCAGATATGTGATCCCTTCCCCAGCCCTTTGGATAGTCTAAGTTCTTTTGGGTTAGAAAGCCAAAATGTCTCAGCTGAGAGGTGCATCCTTGCTGTTGTGTAACACTGCTCCAGCTCTGTTTGTATAGGTATTAGTAATTGCTTGGGTGATTTAAACTGTTGCACTGTGAGCTAGCAAATTCACCTGATGTTAGGACTGATTGTGGAATGACTTCATTTGCTCCTGTTTAATGTGGTCCCATGGACTGCCTGTATTGCAAGATGAGCTGTGGTCTAGCAGTGCTGGTGAGCCAGAACCATAAGGCTGAACTACTCCGGCTTGTGCTGGGCATACAAGAGAGGCAGAGGAATGAGCTTCCCAACTACTGATCAGCTCTTTGAGCTGAGTGCTTTGCTTGTCCTGTGAACTGCAGCACCCCTGAAAATGCAGCTTCCTAGGTGGGTCAGAGCAGGGTCTTGCCTGGGATTTGCTGCTAACTGCCAGATGCTTCTGAGGAGGGCAGAGAGGTCTGGTCATGGGAGGCTGAGGATATAATTCAGCTGCACCAGGAAGACTTTCCCTCTAATCCCAAAGTTGGAGGCTGGTTTATCTCTGGTCTCTTCCAATAGTATGTGCTCTTAAAGTAACCCTTGCTACTATCTGAGCACCCTGTCTGGCTTGAAACCTGCTGTGCTGTGCGTCTTAGAGCCCTTATGGGTGGTGAGTTGCATGACATGCAGCTTGGGTGCTGGAGCCTGTGTGTTTGGGGGACAATCGTGGTGGGAGAGACATTTAGACATTGCAAAAGGAGAAAAACTCCTAGCTTATTTGCCTTCCCTTATCATGCTTGGTTTTGTCTGAGTCTCCTTCAGAGCTTTGTGCACTCAGGAGAATTTCTGCAACAAGTGAGACTTGGCAAGTGTTGTCCTTGCCACATAATGAAGGGAAAACACAGATATGCCTATTGCCTGGTGAAAACCTGGGGATGAAGGGGTGAAAAAACTGCCTGAAAAACTTGGGTGGGTTTGCGATAAGTTGGAAGGAAATTGAGCTAGAAGCAGAGTTAAGAGGCTTTTAAAGGGTCAAGTTTCCCTCCTGGTGGTTGTGTGCCTGTGGGTGCAAGGGAAATCACCCACTCTTGGATCCCTACTGTTCTGCTGGATGCTGCTTGAATCGTGGTCAACCCCAAACTGAGATTGGCAGGGAGAGTATCAGCATGGAAGAGTCATTTATTACATGATGGAAAAGTAATTTGTGTGCTGGAGCCCCTCCGCAGTACCAGCTGTTCTGCAGAGAGAAGATCAAGAGCTGTGGGAACCTGACACTGCCACAGATGGTCCCAAACAGAGAGCTGCAGTTGCCAGGGGCTGCAGGAACATGCTATCAGCGTTAGTGACTTTCTCAGGTGTGGAAGGAAGTCTGCTAATTGCTGCCACCTTGGGATGAGGAGGCTGAGCTGGAGGGTGTCCTTCTCTCTGCCTGGGCAGTCATGACCTCTGCTGGAGATGAGCTGGAGGCTGCCGTGTGGCTGAGCCCTCGAGAGTGCTGGGGGGGGCTGAACGTGGGGGTATTTAGAGCGTGGTCCCCAAGAAGCTTTGGAGCACCATCTCTCTTTGCAGTCCTCAGCTCCTGCTATCTGTTATGGACATGTCTCAAGTTGGCTCTCCTGCATCATAGAGACTTTATGAGCAGTGGAGAGGAGGGATTCACATGGCTCTTGTGAAGATGGTTGGGAGAAAGCCATCTCTAATTGCTAGGGCAAGATATCCTGGGCTATCCAAAGTCTATTGCTCGTGGCAGACCAAACAGTATGCATAAGCTTGTCTTTTTCTTGTCTTACAGCTGAGCTTGGTCCTGGTTCGATGTAACCTTCAATGCCAATATTTCCTCTGCTCCAAGGAAGATACTCAAAGGATGTTTCTCTTCTTCTCCTGCCTAAAGTCAGTCTGCTTCAGTACAGCCTGACTGTCCTCTCTGAGTGTGAGTGACGACCCATGCTGCCTCCAGTCAGGTGAAAGGAACTAAATCAGCTGGCAAAACAATCCCTGTTTTAACCTTCTAAGTGACTCTGGCTATTTTTTTTTTTTTTTAAATCTGGCTCTGCTATGGAGATGAGAGGCTGTGGCTTTGCTCCCTCTCTTCTTTATCAAGTGCTTGAAGAGAAGAATCTACTGATCTGCCCAGCTGGCAGGTATTTTGCTACACAGTGAAGAATTTCTAATCTTGTGGCTCTTGTTGGCTGGGTGGTAGGAGAGAAGAAGCTGAATAGAAACCAAGTAAAAGAATCAATGTTTGAAAAGAGGACAATGGGCAGATCCTGAATGTCAGGAGACTGCAAGGACTGTTTCTCACCACCACTAGTGCCCGCTGTGGTTACAGACTTCCCCTGTTTTCAGCATAGCCTCTTTCCCTCTGTAACATCTGCTTTGAGGGACTTCATCTACTGGTCTCTCTGCATGTACATCAAGGCCAAATTACGTTTAACCTAGTCCTGCTTTTTATTTAGTTTCCAGATCACTTAGCTTTTAATCACAGCTAAGTACCCATGCCAAAATATTCCATCTCAACGGTGACCACAGAAGTTTAGTTTCAGATAGCTGCTGCCACCTTCTCCCTGCTAAACAGGGATGTAGGCCTGAGGCTTCCTTTTCCAGGTGAGGAGTGTTAATTACTGGCATTATCTCCCTTCTCTGGGAAGGGATTTGCTTTTCCTTTTACTTGGGCTCTGATGCAAGGAGTTGAAACACTTATTTCTAAATGTCAAAGGCAGGTGTGTTGATAACCTGCGAATGATCCTCCTGGAGGAGGACTAGATATCTGGGAAATTACCAAAATTTCCTTATACTGGAAGCTGTCTAGGTGAAAAGGTATCTTGGTGTGTTGGGGGAGGTCAAGGCTTGCTGTGAACAGGGGGAAACCAAGCCCCTGAAGATGGGCACTCTGATTTCCAGGCTTTGAGTCCCAGTTCTGTAAACCAGCTCCTGGGTCTCTTCTTGAACTCTCCTGCTTCTTTACACTTCATGTCATTAGCACATTCCTGATTTCCTGTTTAAAATCTGTTCATGTCCTCTTCTCATGAAGGCTGTCAACATAAATTTGCGACTTGTTTCTGCCCTCCTAGAGGGAGGGCAGCTTCTCTCTCCTCCTGCATCAGTTTGCTTTTTGCTTCAATTTACTGCGTGTCCTGGATATTTTTTTTTGTAAGCATTTAATAAAATTTGAGGAAGATGTTGTAACAATGGCGACTCTGAGGATTTTGTTGATGTAGGAATTGCTACAGCAAAGCTGGTTTCCCAGACCTTGCAACTCTCTTTGAGCAGGAAGTGGCAGAAGAGAAACGCTATCAAACTGAATGGCAAGAGGAAAAAGAGCTTGACATACGTTGGAGGGGAGCTTTCCTCCATTTTGGCTACCTGCTGCTTTCCCCATTGTTATTGAGGAAAATGACAATGAGATGGGAAAGATCAGGGTTTGGGCAAGATTTAGAGCAGCATGCAGAAGACTTCATAGAAAGTGATCAGCTAGAAGCAGCAGGAGGTTTAGCTGGCCAGCTAATAGAGCTGGGAAGAGTCAGGCTTCAACCCAAATCACTGGAGCTGTCAGCTTTAAAAGTCTTCTACAGCCTGCTTATACATTTCAGATAGATGTGTCTACAGGAACTCTGTGCTCTAATGAGCTGACTACTGTATCTGGAACCATCTATAAATAAATAAAAAGGCTGTTTTACCTTTTATGAAGGTGACCTTCCAAGTAACAGCCCTTCTCTTATGTAGAGACAGCATCCAGGTTGTGCTATCCTTAATATGCGCTTTCCAAGAGTGTTGGAAACAGGCAAGCTGCTGGGACTCTCTGGCTGCTCCCAGGTATCACTTCTGACATTTCCAAACAAGAAAAATCTCTTGCTATCCTTTTTTTGCTTATTGATGCCTTCAGCCTTTCTACCCCCTGCTTTAGCTGCTTCTGGAATGAAGAATTCAATGAGTCTGTGTTTTCCGGAGAGCATTGAGGAGTGTGGCAATATCTGGCCCAGTCTTCCTCAACCCTTCCTCTTTCAAGCTGGGACTTTGAAATGAGGCCAGAGCAGTAGCAACGTGATGTATAAAAGTGTCCCGGTGTGAGGTGAAAGCAGCACCATGGAGCCCTGCGTGGTGCTGGTAAGCCAACTGGTTGGGGCCTTCCTATTAGTGTCAGCTCTGTTCTGCAGTCAGCTGGCAGAAAGGGTGGCCAGAAGCTTCTTCTGTTACTATTCCTGTGCCTTACCAGCCTGGGTAGTGCAGAAAAGGCCCTGAAGGCTGCTTGTGTGAAATTCCTTCTCTAAGGAGGGTTAATTTGCAGGGCGTATTTTCCCCACTTAAAGTCCATGTGGAACTAGATGTGGTTTCAACAGAAACAACTGCTATAATCCAGGTTCTGGCGGCAGGCAAGAAGTGAGCAGATTGCACGGCAACGCTCCAGAGAAACCAGAGTGCTCTCGCGACGATGGGAAGCCAAAGGCAAAGCGGCTTGAAGCAGATGTGTGTAGCTTTTTATGAGGTACCTGGATGTGCCAGAGAAAACTTTTCCACAATTAAATTAACTTTACAATGTGCTATTTCTCCTCCCCAAGTAATGTGGTGTGCGTGTGCAGCTAGTGGCAATGTGACGGCGAGAGGGGCAGCAAGGTTACTGCACTGGGGAAGGACCCCAACAAGGGGACTCCACAGCCCAAGCCCTTTGGATGGTTATCTTGGCAATGCCCAGAGGAGAGGAAGGCTCCTTCCTCCCCTTGACGGTAAGCACAGAGCGTTGCAGCAGACTGCATCGTTTGGCACAGAGCGAAGCACGCGTTGACATCTGAAGTGCTTCTGCTCGTCTCTCGCTAAAATGAAAACTCAGTGTGGAGAAACCACTGAGCGTGGTGATGAAGTTATGCTGTATGTTGCGTCTGCAAAGCTTTCAGCCTTCCTGTGGGTCTTTGCGTGGTGCTGGCGCCTCTGCTCCCCAGGGGTGTGAAGAGGCACTCTTGGCGGGCCTCTTGCGTGGCTGAAGAACAGGCTGTGCCTCTCTGGTGTTTTCTGGCCCGATTTTATGCAGTAGACAACTACTCCCTGTCTTTTTTGCCTTTGTTTGTCACGATATTAATTAGCGTTGCTCGCTGCGCTGGTATCGGTGGTGCTTTTGTGCTGAGACCTTGGCTCTGTCTCTTCCTGGGACTGTTGCGTTCTTGAATGTAGCAAGGGCAAACGGAGGCACTGAGAGCGCCTTGCTTGCGGGGTTGTGGTTGCTCCTGAAGCCTGGTGGAGGGGCGTTGCTTTGGGATTAAAAACAGAAGTGGCCTCTTGAGAGAGATGTTGCTTCCCTCTGGTTTCTTCCTTCCTTGTGCTGATTATTTAGATTATACATAGAGAGGGAACGTCCTTTTGCACGGCGTCCGCTCCTAAATGAAGATATAGGCCCTATAGTAATAACAAAATGGTAGCTATTTATATTTCTGTAGCAGGCCTTGGGGCTGCTTTACTTATTATTAATATTTTTCCCAACGAGCTTTAACAGATGATTCTACACGAATGTGTGAGAGAAAAGGAACTGAAAAATGTGGTCCACGAGCACTTGAATGCCTGTTTCCTGCAGGCCACAAACAGCATTACTTAAAACTGGAGAAAGCTTAGCTTAGATTAAAAAAAAAAAAAGTTTTTAATGTTTTTTCTTTATAGCACTTGTTCTGCCTCAAGACTGGGGGCCAAACTTCATCCGGTTCTGTTTCCAGGTATGAAATAATTGTAGGTCCCTCTTCGTGACTATCGTGATGCGTATGCCCTGGCTTACCAAGAGATGTCCGTGCAGTGCTTGCAACGCTGCCCTGGGCCTTCAGTTCAGTGGTGAACACGAGGGTCTAAAGTTTCCAAATGGCTGTTTCTTGAAAGGTGTCTGCAGCTCTTGCTCTCTGAAGGAAAGGTCAGGCTCTGCGGCACCTGGGCCTGAATGTCAGCTCTTCCTCTCCCACTACCTCCGCCGCAGAGAAGGAAAATAAGCAAGCTCCGAGAAGGCGATGTCTATAAATAATGAAGTGGCAGCTGATATGTTGCTGAGCAGGTCTCTGAGTTGGTATATTGATGTCTCTTGCCAGTTAAACACACTTTTCCTAACACCGGATAAAGAATGGATCTGACAGTGACGAAACATGTAATAAGGGCTAGCGCTTGCTTAAGAAACGTCGGACCCTCTGTGAGGATCCTGACAATGATACAAGGCAGACCAAAAGCTGTTTCCATGTGATCTTTGTGTTTGGTCCCATGAGGGTTTTGTGTGTAATGGAACAGTTTGATTTAGATTAAGTGCTTTTCTGAAATTTATAATCTCTTCATAATAATTCTAAGTGATAGTGGTTTAGCCATCCTAAAGACACACATTCTTTTTCCCCTTTAAATAAGCAGAAAAAGATCTGCATACATGTATATTTATACATACACGTATAAAATATATATACAATGAAGTCCCTTGTTGCTTCACACTAGGTATGTGGCCTGGATGTTTGAACAGTTGCAAATAGTACTGGGGTGCACAGAAATTTTCATCTCAAATCCCACAAATCCATGAGATGTTTTGGAAAGCTTGTAAAAGCTGGGCTCTATTATGGCTGTCATTTGCATAACTATACACTGGAGTTTCATCCAGGAGACAAACTACAGCAGTGCTATTAATCACTGATAACTCCAGTGTCTGTTGCCTGTCTGGTTTTGTAGCCTAAGATGGGCTTTAACGGAGGGGAAAGACAGCCTGTTTATTTCTAACTGACTCGGAGATGCCTGGTTGGGTGCAGAGCCTTTCCCCCAAGGTTTCTAAAAGGCTGCAGGTGGCCAGCTGGGTGCTCTACAGCTGGTCCCTCGCCTAGCTCACCTATCTGGGGTGGCCAAAACAGTGACTCTGGGCACTGGTTCTGGCTCCTGTCCTTGGTCTGGAGGCCCAGACCAAGGATGTGTCTAGAACTGTCCTGTTTGTCTTTATCCTTAGAAAGACATCTGGCCTAGGTCTAGGGAGTCCAAGTACCGGAGAGTCTGCTGTTACCCCCAGGTAACAGCCTCCATCACTAAAACTCATGCATCCTGTGGCAAGTTTGTGCTTTGCTGACTTCTTCTTCCAACCTCTGGCTTTTTTTTTTGAGAGCTTCACTGGTTAGACTGAAAAGCTCCCTCTGTCTATGGTCAACAAGCTAAACGATCTCAGCTTGATGGGTGTCCTTTTGAAAGGGATGTCTCCTAGACCAGGAGTTGTTCTCAGAGCTATTTTCTGAGCCCTCTCTAGTTTTCAGCATCGCTCAGTGCAGTGTCGTTGTGCAGTTCTGAAGTTTTTATTATAGGGGTGTTATCACGGATCTGCTGTCCATCAGGAGCGATGGAAATACTGCCATGCACTGTGGCAGGAATCAGATTAGCTGACTTTTTGAGGTCCCTTCTGGCTTCACTATTTTATAATCGAGCCATAAATAAACTGTGGTGCCACAAGGGGATAGGCCAAATCTTTACTGTGTGTATCTAATTAAGATGCTCTGGATGGGTGCAGAGCAGTTCAACTCCTAATTGCCTATATTGCACCTTAGGTAGCTGTCTAAAGCAAATAGTGCAAACGCATCTCCCGAAGGCAATAGCTGAATGATGGAGTGTCAGTCTATTGCAAAAATCAGGAATCAATTTTAACTGAAGAAAGATGAAGTTTAGTACTTACTGATGTGTAACTTGTTTCCATTTGCAATCATTGGCATGTTGGGTGCATCGAGTTAATTCATTCAGTTTACAGAATTAACAGGTCATTGTTCCTTCAAGACTGTTTCCGATGTTTTCCTAGGATTTTAGAGCCCTGCAGGTAAGTTCAAAACATCGTATGGAAAAAAAACGATTTACAGTAGCCATTGAGTACAAGAGGTTTCTCAAAAAGAAATAGGTAAGGCAGCTTCATTTTTAAAGCATGAAAAGTTCTATCACCTAAAATTAGTGTGAAGATGGGCTATCAAGTGACACTGTTGCATGTTCCCAGATTTGGCTCTGCAAGATTTGACATCTAAACTCCTGGAGAGGTGAAGGACAGATGATGGTGACATGTTGCCAAGGGAGAGATTCTAGCGGAGTCGCTCTAGGCAATGAAGCCAGTTGGAGGCTTTTCAAGTTTACTGGTCAGAGTTACTGTTTTGCAAAATTCAGGACTGCAAAATGCAAATTTGAATCTGTGCTGTGACTGTTCCCGTCCCTGAAGAGG